GAGTTTGCTCCAGGCCACCTGCTCCCCTGCGAGGGAGAGGAGGGGAGACCCGAAACCAGGGTGAGAGCCACTCCGTTCCTCTGGTGGCAGAACTCAACATGCCACAGCTGATTTGTTTTATACATAACACTCTCAGTAAAATTTATCCTCGCAGGCTTAAGTGAGAAAGAGCCCAGGAGGTGGCGAGACAAGAGCTCTCCCTGGGAAATACTCCAGAGAGGACAGGACAGACCGAGCTGCTGTAGCTGCGTCTGTGCAGGGAACTCTGGAAGCGACCACACCATCACCGCAGAGGAGATTCCTCTGCCGTGCATGTACACGGAGAGGGAGGACCCGGGCACCGGGAGCAGCACACGAGTGAGAGGTTCAGGGGACAAGAAAAGGGCTCCAGGCATTGAACATCTCTCGCTCCTTCGTGAGTGGCACACAGTGCTGGGAACAGCAGGGCAATTCAGTGAGAGCAGTTCCCTCAGCTCCGCCGTCTCCCTGCGGCCCTCCGCCTGCGGTACGGAGAGAAGCCTTCCCTGTGAACCCCTTCTGGCTACCAGATCCGCAGAGGCTGCTGCAAACGCGTGCGCAAAGTACGCCCTCAGGACTGCAAAACCCAAGTCCTGGCCCCCGGGAGCAGGGACTTTGCGATTCACAGCCACCACGCTGGCACCAAGCGGCAGCAGCTCAGCCCCGAATGCGTCCCCCCTGCGGATGCGCTGATCTCCACCCTCTGCGAGCTTCCCCGGCACTGCCGCTCGCTTCCCCGGCACGTACCGCCTGTAGGCATCCAGCCCGACGACGGCCAGGCTGTAGGTTTTGCTGGAGGAGCCCTCCAGACCGGCCAGAGGCAACACTTGGTTCAGGTCAGGCTGACTCGCTGACGGGGCGTTGACAAAACTCTGAAGCAAGACAAATGACAGCCAAGTCTGTAGCAGCCTTCCTCTCCGAAACGCCCCTCCCCGTCTCCGGCAGGACAGCGGGGCCCTCCAAGGTGCATCTCATCGGCGGGGGGGGGGCGGCTCATCGGCGGGAACGGGCAGGAGCCAGCCTCAGACCACAGCCGAGAGCGTCGCCTTTGGGCACGCACCACGTGCCGCATCTCCCAGTGTCCCGCTGCTTCTGCTGGCTCACCTTTTTCCCTGCAGCGTTAGCACTGATCTCCTCCCAGACACTGCCTATTCTAGCCTGTCATTCCCTAGTCTCGGACAGGGCTGGATGGATTGGGAACTTCTCAGGGCAGGAGCACAGGCTGCCTAGACAGGTATAAATACAATGTTGTAGGACTGCACACAAATGAGAACTAACACAAATCTCTCTGCCTCGAAATGCAAGTGTTTCTGAGGGCTGTGTGCTCTCAGCATTTCTTTCAAGCAAATCTTTTCTGGACTCCGTGAGAGTGGAAAAGCTGAATGCAAGGAAAGGCAAGTCCAGTCTCAGCTCCCCAGCAGCTTCTCCCGGGGTTAAAGGCAAGTGCCTGCATGCCGTCCCTGAAGGCCTCCTGCTGTACTCAGATCGGGCTTCTCCCACAAGTGCTCTCCTTTCAAACCTTCTGAAGGAACCCTCCCTCCCCTCTCCTGTTCGCTCTGCTGTAGAGCACTTTGTGCAGGTCTGGCTCAGAGAGCTGTATCACCTGGGTGAGGGAGAAGAGGCGCTTAAGAAAATCTTCGGGCTCTACCAACACCAGCACCTCTTTCTCCTCTTCAGTCTTCACCACGGGGCCATCCTAAAGAAAATGAAATCATTTCCAACACAAGCAGGGGTCCAGCATGGAAGCAGACAGCAAGGCTCCGCCTGCGCAGGGCCCACACTAAGAGGCACCGACACTCGCAAGGCTCCGTCAGTACCGGGCCGGTGAAAGACCACGGCTGAACTGAAAGGTAAAAACCCTCCCCAACCAGCAGATCGCCGAAGGTGCAAAAACAGCCTGGCGAGGGAGGCAGTGACGACTGCAGAAGTTGCTAACTGAGGTGAAAGGACACAAAATGGCTTTGTCTGCACTGCGCACGCTGTTAGATGCCATGTTATCTGCACCTACGTTATCTGTAGTCTGTTACATGACCACAGTATCTGCAATGTTTTATTCAGCAACAGCAAAAATAGAGTTCTGCCTCCGCCTGAAATTCCTGTGGTGGGGGTAAGCACGAGAACAGCCTACCTCAGCCTCCACTGCCACGCGGATACCGTTTGACACAGAACCTTCCGAAACCAAACTGAAACGGGAACCGGATTTGGTACCAGCAGGTACCTGCCCTTTCAGGTTCCCAGGGAGCGGGGTTCAAGACGCCAGACGTTTTAAAAGACATTGGCTTTGGAATAATCTGCGGGAAAATCACACCCAGCTCCCTTCCCAAGCTAACTGGTCACCAGTAATCAGCGTTTCTGAGGCTCCAATGCCCAGCCTGGAGAGGCAAGTCAAAGCTTTCTCCTCATCCGTTGCCAGGTGATGTGTACAGAGAAGATGAGAAGGACTCACTGGAGTGGACAGGGTGCTTGGCGTGTTTCTCCTCCAGGTTACGCTGCAGGGAATTGCCTGAGGCTCAAAAGAATATTTACAGTCCAAGGAACTTAAAACCTCCACCCAAGCGTCTGAGCCAGGATCTTTGAGGAGACCTGTGGAGGAGGACAGAACAATCCTGACGTGAGAAAAAGAGGTGTTTCATCAGCTTTAATCAACAACAACAAAAACGCAAGTGGAAAACGAGGAATTCTGCACGCATGGGAAGCCTGGCTTCCTACAACGTGTGCGCTTGCTGGCTGGATTGCTAACTGAGTTATTGACTTCATCATTGACCACCTCTGCGGGCACCTATAGAATTGTCCTTCTTCACTCCAGCCAAGTACCTGGACAGTGACAGGCAATTTGACCCTAAAAATCAGCTCGCACATTCTAGGTTACTAAAGGCGAACTTTCAAAGCCGGCTCTTCTGTTCCCCCAAGAAGAAATTTTATTAAACCTGTAGAAATGTTATTATTTTTGAAATCTCTCTCTCTCTGTGAAAGGAGACTGAAATTAGCCCACAGGCTGAACAGTTCGCAACTAGGAAGCGGGGTTTCACCACCCATGCGCAGCCCCGACACACCTCCCTCGGCGCTCCCTTCAGCCCCGCTCCCCTCGCTCCTGTGCGCGCCGCCACCCCAGCAGCCAGGCTGGACACACGCGGCGTCCCCGGGGAGCCCACGGAGAACCTGCTCTTCATGACTGGCTCTGCAAGGACTGTCAGTCGTAGCCAACGTGAGTCAACACCAGCCATCAGGCACCTTCCTTACAGCTCTCCGTACCCTCACCAAACCAAGTCTTTGGATTGTTTTCTTTGACAGATGCCTGCTCTAGAATGAATTTATTTGAGATCTTGCAATAAAATAGCGCAGCTATTTCTAAGAATGCAAGGGGAGGATTAACAACATGCTGCTTGTCTGCGTTAAAAATCCCAGTGCCTTGTTTGATGAGGGAGTTTTGCCATCGAGGCTGCCCGGCCCAGCCCCAAGCTGCTCCCCGGGGCAGGAGGGACTTCAGGGTGCAGGGCTGGGTGCTGCAGGCAGAGGACAGGCAGAGCGCTCCTCCGTGCTGCCTGCGCTCCCTCTGCCGGCACCCGGGAAGAGGAGGAGAAAAGCCTCTGGCTGGTGCGGAGAGGAGGGTTGGGAAGGCAGGAGCGGTGTTGAGACCAGGCAGGAATGGGGCAGAAGAGATGAGCAAGGACTAAACCGATTAGCACCGGGGCAGAGGGGAAAGCCAGGGACAGAGAGAAACCCGGAGGACTCGCTGGGTGCCGATACAATCGCCACAGTGGAGTTTTTAAAGTGAGAATCCCACGGTATTTTCTCTGGCGGGCTGTGCGTTTCACCGGCCAGCCTGCCTCACCAGGCTGACCCCGCTCCAACAGGATCGCTCACCTGGAGAAAGGCCACGAAAATACACTTCTGCAACCTCCACCACCTCCCGAGCGCCGGCTGTACCCATGACTTCACAACACCTTCCACAGCGGAACAGATGACAGTATTTATCCCACAAAGACTTTCCTACTAGCAGAACAATAAGCACAACAACAGGCCTGTGTCGGAGCAAACAGGGACAATCTTCCTCGGGCAAAGCCATGCTATGAGCCCCCAAAAGACAACCTCTAGGTGCAAACGTGGTGATAAGTTACTCAAAACCATGTCGGATAAAGCAGCTGCATCCCTGCCATCCAGAGGACCAAGAGAACCTGCCCAAGACCTGCACGGAGGAGAGCGAGCAGACCAACAAGTCTCTAACCAGAACATTTAAGGATACAAAACACGTATCCTTAAAAAACATGTTTAGTTAAACAAATCTTGCTGCTAGCAATTAGCAGTGGAGTGAACGCTTACCATAAGGATAATGTAATTAGCAAGAAGTAGTGCATGACAGATGCTAACAAACAGAGCAACTCGAGATATAAAGCTTACGGCCCTAATTACATGTGCACGGTGATGAGCTGCAGCTTGGATTCGAGCCGCTGGGGACCGGGACGCAGTGTAACGCTTGTCACACCGGCCGCTCTGCCCTCGACAGGGAAACCCACCCAGCGACCCCGGCTGCCCGGGCAAGCTGCAGGGCGAGGAACAGGCCGGCAGCGCCGCTCCCACCGGGACAGGGGATTACAAACAGGCTCCAGGCAGTCAGACGTCTCAGAGGATCAGCAGTGGCGCTTGCGAGTGCCGGGAAAGAGCCAGGATCCCAGGGACACGCTGGTGGCCGGCGCCACAGAATAAGCCACCGCATTTTCTGCCAACGAAGCTCCATGTCGTGACCTACGGGGTCCTGGCGCCCTGAACGTCCTCCCTGACCAGGCAGAGCCACTCTGGAAGCAGACCCAGCCCTCTGCGAGGCACCTAGAGAACGTCTTTCAGGCGCTGGTATTCCCAGAAGCTCATCTTGGAGCTGTCCCAAGAAGGGAGTTGCAGGTAGCAGGTAACATCGCCCAGCCTGAGCAGGCGGTCGGTTGCAGCTCTTCTTATCTCTTCATAATGACCCTTGAGGACGGGAGCAAATGAACAGCCAGGAGCTCGCCACCCCAGAACTAGGTCAGAAACAGACGCTCTATAAAGACGAGCTCCGGGAGCCCTCTGGGGCTGAAGCGCTGCCCTTCTGCTTCTGCAACAAGGCCCCGACGAGTTAAGAGCTCATTTTCCAGAGGCGAACCCGGAGCTGGAGGGCTCAGTCCTCTCTCCGTGATGCTCAGGAACCAGGTGGGGACCCCAGCAGCTGCCCGCTGCCATCTAACCGCAGCTAGTCGGCAGTCACGACAGCAACGACAAAGATAAGGAAGCCAAAAGAGCCTAACAAACACGCGGGGGCGGTGTGGGCCCCGGGCTCAGAGGGGACAGCCTGGAGGTCCCGGCCCCCCCCGCCCCGGCGGGCTCGGCCTCCCCGGCCCCCGGCGCCCACCTGGGTCGGCGCACACCTCCCTCAGCTGCAGGCACCGCTCCCGCCGCACGGGGCGGCCGGCCC